GGAAAAACGGGAGAAAACGGGAAAAAAAATCGGGGAAAATGGGAAAAAAACGGGGGATAAAAACGGGAAAAAACGGGGGGAAAGAATATGGGGAAAATCGGGAAAAATGGGGAAAAAATCCCGAAAATTCCCTGGTCCAGTGTGGGAAGTGCGGCCACGGTCAGGGAAAAACGGGAAAAAACAGGGAAAAACGGGGAGAAACGGGGAAAATGGGGGAAAAAACTGGGGGAAATGGGGAAGGAAACAGGGAAAAAAGGGGGAAATGGGGAAGAACCCTGGGAAAACAGGGAAAAAATACAAGGAAAACCAGGAATAAAAGAGGGGAAATGAGGGTAAACGGGAAAATGTGGGGAGGGAAAATGGGGAAAACGGGGGAAAACTGGTGAAAAAATGGGGAAAATGGGGATAAAAACGGGGGAAAATGCGTCTGCGCCGGGAATTCCAAAAATCCCGAAAATTCCTCGTCCTGTGTGGGAGGTGCGGCCACGGTCAGGGAAAAACTGAGGGGAAAATGGGAGAAAAATGGGGAAAATGGGGGAAAATGGGGGAAAAAATGGGGAAAAACTGGGATAGAAATGGGGAGAAATGGGGATAAAAATGGGGAAAAATGGGGATAAAAATGGGGGGAAACCCCTGGGAAAATGGGGGAAAATGGGAACAAATGGGAAAAACAGGAAAAACTCTGAAAAAAACAGGGAAAATTGGGAAAAATGGAAAAAATTTGGGAAAACTGGGGAAAATGGGGGGGAAATGAGGAAAAAAGGAAAAATGGGGGGAAATGGGGGAAAATGGGGAAAACAGGAAAAAATGGGGGAATGTGCTGAGAAATTGGTAAAAATTGGGGAAAAAACAGGAAAAATGGGGGGAAATAGGATAAAATGGGGAAAATGGGGAAAAGGAAAGCGGGAAAAACAGGGAAAAGCAGGAAAAATAGGGGAAAATGAAAAAAAAAACAGGGAAAAATGGATAAAAAATGGGGAAATTGGGGACGGGGTAAATACTGAAATTTGCAGGGTTCTGGCAAAAATTGCCAACCTTTGGGGAGGAAAGGGGGAAATTTGGGGATTGGGGGTGGGAAGGGGGGGGCAAAGTGGGAAAATGCCCAAAAAGGGGGAAAATGGGAAAAAGGGGGGGAAAACGCCCGAAAATTGTGGAATTCCCATGAAAATTCCCCAAAATTCTCCAGGAAATGGGGGGAGGGGAAAATGGAGATGAGAAAAAGTGGGAAAAACCCAAAAAATGGAGGGAAAAGGGGAGGAGAAATGGGAAAGAGGGAGCAGGGGTGGGAAAATCGGCCCCAAAAATTCTGGAATTCTGCCTGAAATTTAAAATAAATCTGGGGAAAGGGGGAGGGGTGGGAACATGGGGAAAATGGGGAAAATAATGGGAAAAATGGGAATGGGGGTGGGAAAGGGGGAGGAGGGGCAGGAAAAGCTCCTCAGGAGGGGAAAAATTGGTGAAAAATGGGAAAAAATGGGTGAAAAATGGGAAAAAATGGGTGAAAAATGGGGAAAAATGGGTGAAAAATGGGAAAAAATGGGGGAAAAATGGGAAAAAATGAGAGAAAAATGGGAAAAAATGGGAAAAAATGGGATTTAGGTGGGAAAAGGGGTTGAGAGGTGGGAAAAGTGGGAATGGGGTGGGGAAATGGGAATGAAGGGGGGGAGGGGTGGGAAAATTCCCTGAAAATTGGGAAAATGGAGGGAAAATGGGAATGAAGGGCTGGAAATGGGGAAAAAATGGGAATGGGGTGGAAAATGGGAATGGGGTGGGAAAATGGGAATGGGGTGGAAAATGGGAATATAGAGTGGGAAAAATGGGAAAAGGGTGGGAAAATGACCTCAAAAGGGGGAAAAATGGGAAAAAACTGGGATTTGGGGGGGGAAATGGGAATGGGTTGGGAAAATGGGGAGGAATGGGAATATGGAGGGGGAAAAATGGGAAAAGGGTGGGAAAAATCCCCTCCAAAGTTGGGAAAATGGGAAAAAAAACTGGGATTTGGGTGGGAAAATGGGAAAAGGGTGGGAAAATCTCCGGAAAATTGGGAAAATGGAGGGAAAATGGGAATGAATGGGTGGAAATGGGGGAAAAATGGGAATGGGTTGGGAAAATGGGGAGAAATGGGAATGTGGAGAGGGGAAAATGGGAAAAGGGTGGGAAAATCTCCGGAAAATTGGGGAAAATGGGAAAAAAACCTGGGATTTGGGTGGGAAAATGGGAATGGGAGTGGGAAAATGGGAAAAAAACTGGGATTTGGGTGGGAAAATGGGAATGGGAGTGGGAAAATGGGAAAAAACCTGGGAGGAACGGGAAAAATGTGGGGAAAGGATGGGAAAAAAACTGAGATTTGGGCCAAAAAACCACCCAAAAAAACGGGAATAATGGCGGGAAAAGAGGGGGAAGGGCCGGGGGGGTCCCGGATTGCCGAAGGATTCCCGGAATTCCCGGAATTCCCGCCGCCAGCGTACCACCAGCGCTGCCACGTGCCCCCGCCGCCCGGCGGCGCCGCGCCCTGGAGCTGCCGCCGCTGCGTCTTCGCCGTGGCCACCAAGGTGAGCCCAAAATCGCCAAAATCCCCCCAAAATCCCCCCAAAAAATCCCCCAAGTCCCATCCCGGGGAGGCCCCCGAGGGGTTCCGGGGCTCTGGATCCCGGGATTCACCACAAATCCCGGCTTTGGGACCCAAAATCCCGGTTTTTCGGCCCAAAATTCCCATTTTTCGGCTCGAAGTTCCCAGTTTTTGGCTTTGGGGTCCAAAAATTTTGGGCTTCCAGGTTTGGGGGTTTCAGCTCCAAATGCTGGGATCCAAACTCCAAATTTTGGGATCGAAACTCCAAATTTTTTGAGGTTCCAGTCCCCTTTTTTGAGGTCCAAACTCCAAATTTTGGGACGGAATTCCAAATTTTTGGGGTCTTGATCCCATTTTTTGCTGTCCTGATCCCATTTTTGGGATCCAAACTCCCAATTTTGGGGTGGAAATCCCAATTTTTGGGATCCAAACTTCATTTCTTGTAGCCCCAACCCTGATTTGTTCATTTCTGGTGTCATTCCCGGTAATCCCCATCGGTTCCCGCTGGAATTCCTGTTAATTCCCACTGTGATTCCCGGGTTTTTCCCGTTAATTCCCGGTGTTATTCTCGGTGTCTTTCCCACTGTTTTCCTGTTCATTCCTGGTGTTATTCCCGGTAATTCCTGGTGTCATTCCTGCTGTTTTCCTGTTCATTCCCACTGGAATTCCCGGGTTTTTCCCCGTTCATTCCTGGTGTCTTTCCCAGTGTCATTCCCGTCAGTCCCCATCCATTCCCGCTGTCATTCCCATTAATTCCCCCTGTAATTCCTGCTCTTTTCCTGGTTTTTCCCCATCAATTCCCACTGTAATTCCCAGGTTTTTCCCCATTAATTCCCGCTGGAATTCCAGGTTTTTCCCCATTATTTCCCGCTGGAATTCCAGGGTTTTCTCCGTTAATTCCCGGTGTCTTTCCTGGCGTCATTCCCATCAATCCCCATCAATTCCTGCTGCCATTCCCGGTGTAATTCCCTGCGTCATTCCCACTGTAATTCCCCTGTTAATTCCCACCGGAATTCCCAGGTTTTTCCCATTCATTCCCGCTGTTATTCCTCGTGTAATTCCCACTGTAATTCCCGGTGTAACTCCTGCTGTTTTCCTGTTAATTCCCGCTGGAATTCCTGGTTTTTCGCGTTCATTCCCGGTGTCACTCCTGTCAATCCCCATCCATTCCCGCTGTCATTCCCGCTGTTTTCCTGTTCATTCCTGGTGTCATTCTCACTGTAATTCCTGGGTTTTTCCCTTTCATTCCCAGTGTCATTCCCGGTCTCATTCCCGCTGTTTTCCTGTTCGTTTCTGGCGTCATTCCCATTCATTCCCAGTGTTTTTCCTGGTGTCATTCCTGGTGTTTTCCTGCTAATTCCCACAGGAATTCCTGCATTTTTCCTGTTCATTCCCGATGTCATTCCCATTAATTCCCGCTGGAATTCCTGGTGTTTTCCTGTTCATTCCCAGTGTCATTCCCGCTGGAATTCCTGGTAATTTCTGGCATCATTCCTGCTGTAATTCCTGGGTTTTTCCCATTAATTCCCACTGGAATTCCCAGGTTTTCCCTGTTAATTCCTGGTGTCATTCCCATTAATTCCCGCTGGAATTCCTGGTGTAATTCCTGCTGTTTTCCTGTTCATTCACGGTGTCATTCCTGCTGTAATTCCTGAGTTTTTCCTCTTCATTCCTGGTGTAATTCCCGCTGTAATTCCTGAGTTTTTCCTCTTCATTCCTGGTGTAATTCCCGCTGTAATTCCCGCTGTAATTCCCTGGTTTTTCCTGTTCATTCCCCGTGTCATTCCTGGTAATTCCCGCTGTAATTCCTGGTGTTTTCCTGTTAACTCCTGCTGTAATTCCCAGTGTAATTCCTGGGTTTTTCCCCATCAATTCCCTGCGTAATTCCTGCTGGAATTCCTGGGGTTTTCCCCGTTCATTCCTGGTGTCTTTCCCAGTGTCATTCCCGTCAATCCCCATCCACTCCCGGTGTCATTCCCGCTGTAATTCCCTGGTTTTTCCTCTTCATTCCCAGCATCATTCCCACTGTAATTCCTGGATTTTTCCCATCAATTCCCGGTGCCATTCCCAGTGTAATTCCCGTTAATTCCCGGTGTCATTCCCACTGTAATTCCTGATGTTTTCCTGCTGTTTTCCTGTTCATTCCCGCTGGAATTCCCACTGTTGTTCCCAGGTTTTCCCCGTTCATTCCTGGTGTCTTTCCTGGTGTCATTCCCGTCAATCCCCATCCATTCCCGGTGTTTTCCCATCAGTTCCTGCTGTAATTCCTGGTGTTAATTCTCGTTGATTCTCCCTGGAATTCCCGCTAATCCCTGCTGGAATTCCCGCTAAAATTCCCATTCGTTCCCACTGGAATTCTCCTTAATTCCCACTGGAATTCCTGTTATTTCCCGGCGGAATTCCCGTTAATTCCTGATGTTTTCCGCGGTGTTTTTCTCGTTGATTTCCAATGTTGATTCCTGTTGTAATTCCTGGATTTTTCCCCATCTTTCCGCTGCGCTTTCCCAGGCTTTTCCCCACTAATTCCCGCTGTAATTCCCATTAATTCCCGCTGTAATTCCTGGTGTTTTCCCCATAAATTCCCGGTGTTTGTCCGGTGCAATCCCGGTGTAGTTCCCGGTGTAATTCCCAGCTTTTCCCAGTGATTCACGCTGTAATTCCCGTTAATTCCTGGTGTAATTCCTGGTGTTTTCCGGTGTGATTCCCATTGTAATTCCCGTTTTTTCCTGGTGTTTATTCCCGGTTTTTTCCCATCCCAGATGGGTGGGGCATTCCCGCGGGGCCCTCAGGCACGGGCGATGCGGCAGATGGAATTCCCGTGATGCGGCAGATGGAATTCCTGCTAAATCCCTGCTGGAATTCCCGTTCATTCCCATTGGAATTCCTGTTAATCGCTGCTGGAATTCCTGGTGTTTTCCCGGTGTTTCCCACTCAGTTCCCAGTGTAATTCCTGGTTTTTCCCCTTAATTCCCGCTGGAATTCCCGCTGTCGTTCCCGGTGTATTTCCGTGTTTTTCCCGTTAATTCCCAGTGTCATTCCCGGTGTTTTCCCATTGTTTCCCGGTGTTCTCCCATGAATCCCCAGCATCATTCCGGGTGTCATTCCCGGGTTTTTCCCCATCAATTCCTGGTGTTAATTCCCGCTGTAAATTCCCACTGTAATTCCCGGTGCTTTCCCAGGATTTTCCCCATCGATTCCCGGGGTTTTCCTGCTGTAATTCCCAGGTTTTCCTGGTTTTCCAGCGGGGCGGGGCACTGTGCTATGGATGGAATTCCTACTGTGAATTCCCGCTGCAATTCCCGATGTTTTTCCCATCCCAGCGGCGTGGGGCCATTCCCGGTGTTTATTCCCGGTTTTCCAGCGGAGCGGGGCGCTCCGGCGGGGCCGTTCCCAGTGTGATTCCCGGTGTGATTCCCGGTGTCATTCCCGGTGTCATTCCCGGTGTTTTTTCCAGCGGGGCGGGGCGCTGCGGCGGGGCCGTTCCCGGTGTCATTCCCGGTGTGATTCCCGGTGTCATTCCCGGTGTTCATTCCCGGTGTCATTCCCGGTGTGATTCCCGGTGTGATTCCCAGTGTGATTCCCGGTGTTTATTCCCGGTGTTTTTTGGGGCGGGGCGCTCTGGCGGGGCCGTTCCCGGTGTGATTCCCGGTGTCATTCCCGGTGTTTATTCCCGGTTTTCCAGCGGGGCGGGGCGCTCCGGCGCGGGCCGCAGGCGCGGGCGATGCTGCGGATGAAGTCGGTGCTGCCGTACGCGCTCGGCGCGCTGGACTGGGACCCGCCGCACCTGCACAACCTGCAGCACTGCTACTGCTACTGCGGCGGGCCCGGCCAGTGAGTGCTCCCGGAATTCCCAAAATCCCGGAATTCCCAAAAATCCCCGTCGAAATCCGCTCAGAAACGGCCCCAAAACACCAAAGTCTGCCCCAAAATCCGCCCCGAATTCCCACCTGCACAACCTCCGGCACTTCTACTGCTGCTGTGGCAGGCCTGGGCAGTGAGTGTTCCTGAAAATCCTGAAAATCCTGGAATTCCCGAATGAATCCCGGAATTCCCAAAAATCCCTGTTGAAATCCGCTCAGAAACGGCCCCAGAATCGCCCCGAAACCCCAAAAACTCCCCCAAAAACGCCCCGAATTCCCACCTGCACAACCTCTGGCACTGCTCGTGCTGCTGCAGTGGGCCTGGCCAGTGAGTGTTCCCGAAAATCACAAAAAATCCCAGAATTCCCGAAAAAAATCCTGGAATTCCCAAAAATCCCCATCGAAATCCGCTCAGAAACGGCCCCAAAACACCCCGAAACCCCAAAATCTGCCCCAAAACCGCCCCGAATTCCCACCTGCACAACCTGCAGTGCCGCCCCAGAACTGCAGGGAGAGCGGGCAGTGAGTCACATCCCCAAAAATCCCGGAATTCCCCAAAAAAACCCCGGAATTCCTGGAATTCCCCCCTCATTCCCAGCTGGAACCTGAGGACGCTGCCGCTGCCTCTGCTCCCAAAATCCCCCAAAATCCCCCCAAATCCCCCCAGAATTCTCCCCAAATCCCCTCAATTCCCAGAATTCTTGGAATTCCCAAAATTTCTCCCAATCCCAGCTGGGACCAGAAGTTTCTCCCAGCGCTCCCCCCAAAATCCCCAAAAATCCTTCCAAAAATCCCTAAAAAAAACCCCCAAATGCCCCAAAATCCTCCCCGAAGAAGTCTCCCCAAATCCCTGGAATTGCTCTCAAATCCCCCCAGAATTCCCGGAATTCCCAAATTCCCAATTCCTGAGTCCCAGCTGGAGCCTGGAGATGCTCCCAGTGCTCCCCCAAACCCCCAAAAATTCCCAAAAATCTCCCAAAATCCCCTAAAATCTCAGTAAAACTCCCCAAATCCCCCCCCCCCCCCTCCAAAATCCCCCAAAAAAATCCCACCAAAACTTCCCGGAATTCCCCAAATTCCCTAAAATTCCTGGATTTCCCCCAAATCCCAGCTGGATTTGGAGACGCTCCCCGTGCTCCCCCAAAACTCCCTAAAATTCCCCGAAAAACCCTGAAAAATCCCCCAAAAATCCCTTAAAAATCCCCCTAAAATCCCCAAATTCCTCCTAAAAATTCCCAAAATTCCCCGAATTCCCCCAAATCCCAACAGGAACCTGAAGATGCTTCCCCAAAACCCCCTGAAATCCCCTCAAAAAAACCCAAAAATTCCCAAAAAATTCCCCAAATTCCCAAAATCCCTGAATTTCCCCCATCCCAGCCGGAACCTGAAGAGGCTCCCAATGCTTCCCAAAACCCCTTAAAATCCCCCCCAAAATCCCCCCCAAAAATTCCCAAAATTCCCCCCAAATCCCAACAGGAACCTGAAGACGCTTCCCCAAAACCCCCTAAAATCCCCTCAAAAAACCCGAAAACCACCCCAAAATCCTCCAAAATCCCCCAAAAATTCCCAAAAAATTCCCCAAATTCCCCGAATTTCCCCCCATCCCAGCCAGAACCTGAAGATGCTCCCAGTGCTTCCCAAAACCCCTTAAAATCCCCCCAAAAACCTCTGAAAAATCCCCCAAATCCCCCAAAAATTCCCAGAATTCCTCCAAATCCCAACAGGAGCCTGAAGGTGCTTCCCCAAAACCCCCTAAAATCCCCTCAAAATCCCCCCAAAAATTCCCGAAAAATTCCCAAAATCCCCAATTTCCACCCAAATCTCCCAGCTGGAACCTGGACACGCTCCCAGTGCTTCCCCAAACCCCCAAAAATCCCCTGAAAAATCCCCCTAAATTCCCCAAAATCCCCCAAAAATCCCCTAAAATTCCCCCCAAAAATTCCCAAAATTCCCTGAATTCCCCCCAAATCCCAACAGGAGCCTGAAGACGCTTCCCCAAAACCCCCTGAAATCCCCTCAAAAAACCCCAAAAATTCCCAAAAAATTCCCCAAATTCCCAAAATCCCTGAATTTCCCCCATCCCAGCCGGAACCTGAAGAGGCTCCCAATGCTTCCCAAAACCCCTTAAAATCCCCCCCAAAACAAATTTACCCCTGAAAAATCCCAAAATTTCCCCCAAAAATCCCAAAATTCCCTCTGGGAATTCCCCAGAAATATCCCAAAAATTCCCAAAATTCTCCCAAAAATCGTCTAAAAATCCCAAATTTACCCCTGAAAAATCCCAAAATTTCCCCCAAAAATCCCAAAATTCCCTCTGGGAATTCCCCAGAAATATCCCAAAAATTCCCAAAATTCTCCCAAAAATCGTCTAAAAATCCCAAATTTACCCCTGAAAAATCCCAAAATTTCCCCCAAAAATCCCAAAATTCCCTCTGGGAATTCCCCAGAAATATCCCAAAAATTCCCAAAATTCTCCCAAAAATCGTCTAAAAATCCCAAATTTACCCCTGAAAAATCCCAAAATTTCCCCCAAAAATCCCAAAATTCCCTCTGGGAATTCCCCAGAAATATCCCAAAAATTCCCAAAATTCTCCCAAAAATCGTCTAAAAATCCCAAATTTACCCCTGAAAAATCCCAAAATTTCCCCCAAAAATCCCAAAATTCCCTCTGGGAATTCCCCAGAAATATCCCAAAAATTCCCAAAATTCTCCCAAAAATCGTCTAAAAATCCCAAATTTACCCCTGAAAAATCCCAAAATTTCCCCCAAAAATCCCAAAATTCCCTCTGGGAATTCCCCAGAAATATCCCAAAAATTCCCAAAATTCTCCCAAAAATCGTCTAAAAATCCCAAATTTACCCCTGAAAAATCCCAAAATTTCCCCCAAAAATCCCAAAATTCCCTCTGGGAATTCCCCAGAAATATCCCAAAAATTCCCAAAATTCTCCCAAAAATCGTCTAAAAATCCCAAATTTACCCCTGAAAAATCCCAAAATTTCCCCCAAAAATCCCAAAATTCCCTCTGGGAATTCCCCAGAAATATCCCAAAAATTCCCCCCTAAAAAATTCCCAGAATTGCCTCACAAAATTCCCAAAATTCCCTCAAAAATTGACAAAAATCCCTCCCAGAAATCCCCAAAATTCTCCTGAAAAATTCCAAAATTTTCCCCAAATTCCCCCCAAAAATTGACAAAAATCCCTCCCAGAAACCCCCAAAATTCCCCCCAAAAATTCCCAAAATTCCCCGAATTCCCCCCAAATCCCAACAGGAACCTGAAGATGCTTCCCCAAAACCCCCTAAAATCCCCTCAAAAAACCCCGAAAACCGCCCCAAAATCCCTCCAAATCCCCCAAAAATCCCCCAAAAATTCCCAAAAATCCCCCCAAATGCCGGGATCCCCCCAAATTCCGCAGCTGGAACCTGAAGATGCTGCAGTGCCGGCGCTGCCACCAGTGGTTCCACGAGGCGTGCACGCAGTGCCTGCGCCGGCCCCTGCTCTACGGGGACAGGTCAGCGCCCGGTTTGGGGGGATTTGGGGCGTTTTGGGTTTTTTAGGGGGGCCGGAGTTTTTTTTCCGGGTGTTTTGGGGTTTTTCCCATTATTTGGGATGCATTTTGGGGGAATTTGCAGGGGGTTTGGGGATGGGTTTGGGGTGGATTTTGGGGGAGATTTTGGGGGAGATTTTGGGATGGATTTGGGGGTGATTTTGGGGTGTTTTGGTGTTTTTTTGGGGTTTTTCCCATGATTTGGGATGGATTTGGGGGAATTTGCAGGGGGTTTGGGGATGGGTTTGGGGTGATTTGGGGGAAATTTTGGGGTGAATTTGGGATTTTTTGGGGGTTTTGGGGTTTTTTGGAGTTTTGGGTTATTGGGGTCTGGGGATTTTGGGGTTTTGGGGTTTTAGGGTTTTTGGGGGTTCTTTTGGATTTTAGGGTTTTTGGGTTTTTTTTTTGATTTTAGGGTTTTTGGGGGTTTTTGTGGTTTTTGGGGATTTTGGAGTTTTTGGGATTTTTGGGCCTTTGGGTTTTGGGGTTTTTGGGGCTTTTTCCTGGTGTTTTGGGGACTTGTCCGGGTGTCCTGGGGGGGTTTTCCCATTATTGGGGATGGATTTGGGGTGAATTTGGGTGATTTGGGGTGAATTTGGGGTGCTTTTGGGGCTGCATTTTGGATCAATTTGGGATGGTTTGGGGACAGATTTTGGGGTGAGTTTTGGGGGATTTGGGATAATTTTGGGTGATTTGGGGATGGATTTGGGGTGGTTTGGGGAGATTTTCAGATGGATTTATGGTGATTTTGGGCTGATTTGGGGACAGATTTTGGGGTTTTTTGGGGGTTTTGGGGCTTTAAGGAGTTTTTGGGGTTTTCAGGTGGTTTTGGAGCTTTTTGGGCTTTTTTGGGCTTTTGGGTCTTTTTGAGGGTTTGGGATTTTGGGGCTTTTTGGGGCTTATTTGGGATGGATTTTGGGTGGTTCTGGGGTGAATTTGGGGGGATTTGGGGATGGATTTGGTGGTGATTTGGGGTTTTTGGGATTTTTTGTATTTTGGAGGTTTTTTTTACTTTTAGGGGTTTTGGGCACTTTGGGGTTTGGGGGTTTTGGAGCTTTCTGGGGTTTTGGGGTTTTATTGGAGCTTTTGGGGTTTTGGGGTTTTTTGAGGTTTTTGGGGTTTTTGGGTTATTGGGGTTTGGGGGTTTTGGGTTTTTTTTTGGGGGGGTCTGGGACTTTTGGGGGAGTTTCCTTATCTTTTGGGGTTTTTTTCTGGTTATTTTGGGGTATTTTGTGACTTTTTCCCATTACAGGGGATGGATTTGGGGTGGATTTGGGGTCGGATTCGGGGATGGATTTTGGGTGATTTGGGGATGGATTTTGGGGTGAATTTGGGGTGATTTGGGGATGGATTTTGAGGTGATTCTGGGGTGATGTGGGGATGGATTTTGGGGTGAATTTGGGGTGATTTGGGGCGATTTTGGGGTTCCTTTGCAGGTTTTACATCTTCGAGTGCAGCGTGTGCCGGGGCGGGGCCGAGAGCGTGAGGAGGCTGCCCCTGCGCTGGTGAGGGGGACCCAAACACCCCAAAAACACCCCAAAACACCCAGAAATACTCCAAAAACACCCCAAAACACCCAGAAATACCCCCAAAACACCCCAAAACACCCAGAAACGCCCTAAAAACACCCCAGAACACCCAGAAACATCCCAAAAACACCCCGAAACACCCCAAAAACACCCCAAAACACCCAGAAACACCCCAAAACACACCAAAACACCCAAAAACACCCAGAAACACCCAGAAACACCCCAAAACACCCCAAAAACACCCCGAAACACACCAAAACACCCAAAAAACACCCAGAAACACCCAGAAATACCCCAAAACAACCCAAAACCACCCCAAGAACACCCCAAAACACCCCAAAACACCCCCAAAATATCCAAAACCACCCCAAAAGTACCAAAAAACACTGATAAACACCCCAAAAAATACCCCAAAACCAGCCCAAAATCGCCCAAAACCACCCAAAACCACCCAAACCCACCCCATAAACACCCAGAAAAAAATTCAGGTTTTTTTGGGGGAAAATCCAGGTTTTTTGAAAAAAAAAATCTCGGTTTTTGGGGGAAAATTGAGTGTTTTGGGGGGAAAAAATCTGATTTTTGGAGGGAAAAAATGGCGATTTTAGGGAATAAAACATTCAGGTTTTTGGGGGAAAATCCAGTTTTTTGGGGAAAAAAAAATCTCGGTTTTTGGGGGAAAATTGAGTGTTTTGGGGGGAAAAAATCTGATTTTTGGAGGGGAAAAATGGCGATTTTGGGGGACAAAAAATTCAGATTTTGGGGGGAAAAAATCTGATTTTTGGAGGGGAAAAATGGCGATTTTGGGGGACAAAAAATTCAGATTTTGGGGGGAAAAAATTGTGATTTTGGGGGGAAAAAATCTGATTCTGTGGGGTGAAAGAAATCCCAATTTGGGGGGAAAATTGTGATTTTTGACCCCATCAATGAGGGTTTTACACCTGAAATTGGGATGTGGACCCCAAAATTGGGGTTTTTAATCAAAATATTCGGGGTTGGGCCCCAAAATTGGGGGTTTGGACCCTGGAATTGTTCCCAATTTGGGGTTTTCCCCTGATTTTTGGGGGTTTCCCCCTGAATTTGGTTTTTTTTCTCCCTGAATTTGGGGTTGTTTCCTCTGAATTTGTTTTTTTTTTTCACTGAATTTGGAGTTTTCCCCCCAAATTTGGGGTTTTTTCCTCTGAATTTGGGATTTTTTTCCCTGAATTTAGGGTTGTGTCCCCCAAATTTTGGGGTTTTTCCCTGAATTTGGAGTTTTCCCCCCAAATTTGGGGGCTTTTCCCCTGAATTTGGGATTTTTTCTCCCTGAATTTGGGGTTGTTTCCTCTGAATTTGTTTTTTTTTTTCACTGAATTTGGAGTTTTCCCCCGAAATTTGGGGGCTTTTCCCCTGAATTTGGGATTTTTTCTCCCTGAATTTTGGGGTTTTTCCCCTGAATTTTGGGTTTTTCTCCTGAATTTTGGGATTTTCCCCCTGAATTTGGAAGTTTATTTCCCTGAATTTGGGGGGTTTTTCCCCTGAATTTTTTTTTTTTTTTCCCTGAATTTGGAGGGTTTTTCCCCTGAATTTGTTTTCCCCCTGAATTTGGGGTTGTTTCCCCTGAATTTGGAGTTCTTCCCCCAAAGTTTGGGGGTTTTCCCCCTGAATTTGGAGTTTTCTCCCCAAATTCGGGGGTTTTCCCCTGAATTTGCAATTTCCCCCTGAATTTGGGGTTTTTTCCCTGAATTCGGGATTTTTTTCCCCGAATTTGGGGTTTTTCCCCTGAATTTGGATTTTTTCCCCCGATTTTTTTTTCCCCAGTCAGTATTTTTGCCCTAACCCGCACTTTTCCCCCTGAATTTGGGTTTTCCCCCCAATTTCAGTTTTCCCC